AAAAAAAAAAAAGTAAGGCTACTTCCACGAGCTTTTTTTTCTTCACACCATCTTACATCAGGTCTGAGAATGCCATGCAATGGTTCTCAAATGTTACATTACAAGCTATTTTCTATTTTTTCTTCAAGGTATTGGTCGGAGGAGAAGGGAAATGCAGTTCATATGTTATGGATTACACTACAAATTCAACCCCTACTTTTGTATTCAAGGTCTGATTAAAATCTATGATGTAGAAAGTGAAACACCAGGAATAACAAAGGGGTGCAATTAATCTAACAGCAATAACATAAAATAACCTGAACAGAAGTTTTGGAAATCACATACAGAAACAAAGAGCAACCAGAAGACATTGACATAGTATGAGAATATAAGAGTCTGCTGTAGAGTTTGCACAAAGCTACTATGCCCAGCCCTTTAACAATTTAAATTATTATAGGAGCAACCATCACTGCTGGTAAGGGTCATTTCCATCAAAGGCTTCAAATGAGTCTGTCTATAAGCAAAAATTAATTTTAGATTTTCAATTGATATAACAACAGGTATTACAAATAAAATAATGTCTTCTCATTCATTTTCATGCTGCACACAAAGGCAGATAGATTCTATGGTAATAGGTGCTTTAAAAATGCTGTTGATGCCCATTCATTTAAATACATGCAGACTTCTGACCCTTGTGAAAATGATCATTGACAATCTAATACCACAATAATTACTGAAGAGAAAAATAAGAGATGACTTTTATCTGATTGTATTAAGGAATCACTTACCTGAAAATATCATTTGGACTTGTCAGCAGACATCCTCACCTGCTCACATCATGCAGACTTGGAAGTTTCATATTTCAACATAAAAAATAAAAGATGCTACCATCGCCTAATGAATGAGGTAGTTCCACTGTGGAGAGTTTGCTGCTAATGTTGGAATTCCTTTGGAGGAATGAAGACAGACACAGACTAGGGAGGCGTGTCTTCCAGAGATGTAAAATAAAGGGCTTGTGCTCCTTTATGAAATACCATTGCAAACGCAAAGAAAGCTTATTAGTTATTGAGCCATTTACTTTCTCAGCAAGCATACTGAATGGCTGGCTGTTATTCCAGCTTGCTTTTCCATCAAGTCCAGATACAGTTTGTCTGGCACAGTTCTATTCAAATGCTACAGAGGATCACTGGCTGTTCTAGTTTGCTGGGAACAAAACAGCAACAAGCTCCACGGCTGCACGTCTTTGTGAGACTGCACAATGCTCCGTTTCAAGGCAGAATGCCCCTGCTCTGATATACCATTTAGCACACAGCTGGGTTTTACAAACCTACCTCCTGATTCCATACCTGTAAGAATAGTTATACCTTCATTTGATTATTTATAGGACTATTAAAATTCTTGTTAGAGAAAGGTATGTAAAATGAAATACTGACCCTATTCTCTTTGGAGTCAAAACTCCTCCTAGATTTTATTTTTCTCTTTGGTGATAACTTTATAATTTATATTTTATCAGTTTGATTTTTTTTAAATACTGAAAACATAGATCAACCTCCTGATTCTTAATTCCAACTTGGTAATATTCTTTTTTTGTGTGTGTTACGCAAGCAGTAAGGATGGGTGAATGGAAGAATACATTGGCCCCAAGCAGCGCAAATATTGGTCTAGTTCAATAAACTAAGTGTTCCCCAAAAGGAATAGGGAAAATAATTGGCTTTCAGACACGTGAGCACCAAGATGGGTCTCAGTGTTAGAGGAGGACTGCAACCTGACATGAGAGAATTCCAGCCAGTCTATGTCTGGATATAGAGTCTCAGTCATTCCTCACTTATTGTGGGTGCTGGAATAGCCCAAGCAATTTGCTACCCTCAGTGTCCTTAGAAAATTCATTTTTGCTGTTTTGGGAGAGGAGTGGGGAGAAGAGGAGGTGGCGGGAGGTGAGGACCAGGTTTGGAACAGTAAGCACCAAGTCCAAGTGGTGTCTGTTCAGGGAGTAAACGGAAGCTAGCCACGTCTGCAGGGGCCTGAGGCATAGCTTTGTGTGCCAGACCATGTAGGTGCACGCGGCTATGTGTCCCAGTAGCTTGAGGCAAACCTGGGCTGTCATGATTGGTTGGACAATGACCTTGGATATCATGTCCGACGTGATCCAGAACTGGGCCTCCGGAAGGAAGGCTCTGGCTTTGGTCGAGTTGAGCAGTGCCCCAATCAACTCTATTCTCTGAACTGGAATAAGGGTCAACTTTTGCTCGTTTATCAATAGTCCCAGCACTCAGAAGGTGGCTTGGACCAGGCTGATGCTGTTCTTTACTTGAGTCTCTGAATGACCCTTGATCAGCCAGTCATTGAGGTACATGTATGCCTGAACACCTTGCTGTCTGAGGAAGGCAGCTACCACTGCCATGCATTTTGTGAAAACCCGGGGGGGCTGCGGACAGGCCGACGGGAAGAGTGGTGAATTGGTAATGATCTGTGGCCACTGAAGATAAAAATGTGAAAGTAAGCATCCATCAAGGGTGGGTGGCATACTAGTTCCCTGGAGCCAGGGAGGGAATGATGGAGGCCAGGGAGACCATGCGGAACCTCAGTTTCTTGAGATATCTGTTGAGATGACTCAGGTCCAGTATGGGGGAAAGGTCCCCTTTGGCCTTTGTGCTTAGGAAATAACGGGAGTAAAACCCCTTCCCTCTCAAGTTTTGAGGTAACTTCTCCATGGCCCCCATCTGTAGGAGTGTCTGCACCTCCTGGGAAAGTAGTTGCTCATGAGAAGGGTCCCTGAAGAGGGACAGGTATGGGGTGTGGTAAGGAGGGGTAGATGAAAACTGCAGGGTATAACCAATCGCCACTGTATTTAACACCCAGGAGTCCAATGTTATGTGGAACCATGCCAGGCTAAAGTGGGACAGTTGATCCAAAAATAAAGGGGAGGCAGGATCTGTAGTGGGAACTGGTACAGCACCCTGGGGCGCACCTTCAAAAGCCTGCTTGGTCCTACTGGAGTACCTGTGTGACCCTAGCTGGGAGGTTGAGGTGAACGGACGTGGTTGACAGCACTTGTAACCTCTCCCTTTTCTCTTATAGGAGTACTGTCTCAGAGGCGGAGCCAAGAAGCATGGCGGCTGTTGAGGCCTGACGTGCTTCCTCGAAGTGAACGGAGGAAGAGGCCCAGGGACCTGAGGGTAGCCCTTGAGTCCTTCAGGCCATGTAGTCTCGCGTTCATCTGCTCTGAAAATAGTGACGGGCCTTCGAAAGGGAGGCCCTGGATAGACTGCTGGATCTCCTGATCGAGTCCCGATGACTGCAGCCAAGAGCATCATCTCATGGTGACTACAGAGGTCATTGTCCTGGCCGCCATGTCTGCTGCGTCCAGTGCCTCCTGGAGAGAGGCTCTGGCAACATTCTTTCCTTGTTCTAAGATGGCTGAAAATTCCTGCCATAAGTCTTGAGACATGGAGTCCTTAAATTTGGACAGAGTCCCACAAATTGTAGTCGTATCTCCAGAGTAAGGCTTGCTGGTTTGAGATACATAGTTGTAGACTCCCTGTCAAATAAACTTTCCTCCCAAACAGATCAAGTTTCTTTGCATCCTTCTGTTTGGGGGTAGCACTCAACTGGCTCTGGCTCTCCCATTTGTTAGCCACCAGTATGGATGAGGGACCCAGGAGGGGGTGAGAGTACAGATACTCATACCCACTCACTGGCACATAATATTTCTTCTCTGTGCTCTTTGAAGTGGGGAATGGGGGGGAAGAAAAGATGGGGTCTTCCACAGGACTCTGAACAGACTTATTACCGCCTCACTAATGGGTAAGACTAATTTAGATGGAACTGCTGCAACCAGAATGTCAATGAGGCTGTGAGAGGATTCCTGAATGCCTCAATCTCAAGCCCCAGGTTAGCGGCTATTCGCTTTAAAAGCTCTTGATGAGCCCTAAAGTCATCTTCGGGAAGCGAGCTGCTCGGCCCCAAGTCGGCCTCATCCGGGGAAGAGGAGGAAGAGGCCTGTACTGGAGGAGGGGCCACCATCTTCAGCTTCTTCTTCAGCCTCAATAACCTCCAAAGGGGCCACATTTTGTAAATCAGTACTGGATTGGTACTGGAATCAGGGTCTTGTGCCAATCATGGAGGAACAGGAGCCTGCCTCTCAGAAGCAACCAAGTATGAATGGTGGGAGGGTAGACCTAGTACCGGGGGAATCTCCCAAGGGTTTCAGTATGGCCACTTCATAGACCACTATCCTCCTGCCACGTACCAGTGGGGGAACCCGCACCAAGGTCCTTCGGCATGAAGTACGGGTACTGGCGGCCCTAAAGTTTAACTTATAGGGTTCTGCATCAGACTCAGATGAAGAATCCTCCCTAGGCAACCACAGGGGAGTGGTACCTCTCACTGCCTCCAATCAGTGCCAAGGGTCCAGTGACCAGTGACAGGCTGGGGACAACCTCGCAGAGGACAGAAAAGTTGGCCTGCGTCTAAAAAGCAGTCAGTGGCCCAGTGCCAGGAAGGAGCTCAGAGCACCATGCTCTCTCCTACTCAAGGACGACAAAGCCGGCAGCTGACCTAATGGGGTCGGCAGGACCAGGAGTGACAACAAGTCTCTGGCTACTGTTTGCAGGGTTGAAGGCACTGCAGTTCCGCTGGTGCCGCGATGACTTCCTGCTGTCGGCGGAAGGTCCCGCATTAGACTCTATGGAGTAGATGGTGCTGCCATGGGACCAGGGGTGGAAGAGTGCCCAATGCAGTCGCACTCCACTGCCTTCCCCTTGCTTGCCTTTCTTTGACACTGGCGAGCGCCCCTATTGGAATGCTACTTTTTGTGCTTCTTCCTCAGTCTGCCTGGTGGAGAGCAGTGCCGGAGGAGCACTTTGCACCAAGTTCCGAGGCTGGTCTAAGAGCAGCTTCCTTTAGGATAGCCTTAAGTCTGACTGCGCTGTCCTTCTTTGTGCAAAGTCCCGATAAATTTAGCAGAGGTCTTTCATGTGAGATTCTCCCAGACAACTGGAGTGTGGGTCATTTACAAGCATAGACTGCCACAGGAGGCACAAGGTTTGAGGTGAGGGTGCTAACTATCTACATTAAAAGTGCAGCCTGCCATGTTTTAAGGTCATGCCAGGAATACCAAGAGGGATGCACTGAAACAAAAATAACTCTGGGAGGACATTCATCTTCAGCGAGGCTACCCTACCTAGCCGAGAAATTTCATATTTGTTCCATTCCCCCAGGTATTTTATTATTTTATTTTAAAGATTGCTTTACCCATTTAAATGTATATAGCTGACAACAGTTTATTTTGATCCTTTTGGGAATATTAATTCCTAAAATTTCACGTTTATTTTGAAGCCTGATACCTGCCCAAATTCCAAATCAACTGTTCCATAATTTTTAGCACGTTTTGCTGCCCTTTAACAAGGGTTGGTTTCTCATATTTATTTGAAATGGCTCCATTGTCAAAGCAAACAGAGGATAAGGGGAAGGCTTGTCTTGTACCCCTAGACAAATTAAAAGGAGGTGATTGTCTGCTTTGGTTAATGATCATCAATCAAAGATGAGTAAGGCTACGTTTTAGTCATGGGTATTTTTAGTAAAAGTCATGGAGTGGTCACAGGCAGTGTAGAGGTCTTGGCCGAGGTTCGGCCCTCAGTGGGGCTGTGGGGTATCCCACCGCCTCGCTCTGGTCCGCCGTCAGTCCTGGTCCGGCGGTAGTGTGGGACAGCAAACACACGGTTAGGGGCTCAGGTCCTTAAGCAGGGGCTGAGCCAATAGTTCAGGAAAAGCCCCAGGCCCTCAATCAGGGCAGGCAGCAACCACGCAGTCTGGGGCTCAGGCCCTTAAGCAGGGGCTGAGCCAAGTGTTCATGAACCCAGGCCCTTAAGCAGGGCTGAGTCAATGGGTTTGTAGTGGCCCAGGCCCTAGGTCAGGGCGGGGCAGCAATCAAATAGTCAGGAACCCAGGCCCTTAAGCAGGGGCTGAGTCAATAAGCGAGAGGTCCCAGCCTCTCTAGGCCAGGGAAAGGGGGAGTCTGCCACCCAAGGAGTGGGTGGCAGGGGGGACGCAGGCCCTCCCACTCCACTGCGTCCCAGCCCGGGG